TCAATAGTCAAGTGACTAGCATCTTCCACCATATTGGAGATTAAAGAATAATGTTTAGCGAGATAAAATAATTTAGTAGGTAACATGGATAGAATATTCAATCCATGTTGCTCAGGATCAGCTGATTTTGGTGCCCACCCTATGTCTACTCTTGTCAATTCTCCTCCGTCTAGTGAGWAAACTTGAATCACTTTCCAAAAGCAAGTTGTAAGCACAACTGAAGCTCAAAACACTTGTGGTAGGATAATGCTACACTTATGTATGATCACCAGGAATGATAGCCCTATCCCCTTTACTACTTAATGACTGGAAGAATTGAGAGGGATATTTTCCCTTACACATTACAGAAAATTTTATATTCTGATTAATAAGACCTATAATATAAGCACACAATAGAAAAAGTAAAGAGTAATATTTGTTTTTATTTTAAAGAACAAAGGTATAGTTTAATGCGATTGTGTAAACAACTCTGCAAATGTCTATAATAGTATTGTCTTACACAGAATTAACCTAGTTCAAAAATGTTAAATTTGAGGAATATTCTCCTTGAGAGAGAACTCAAACCTAACAAAAACCCCATCACCTGAATTCTGAAAAATGGCTAGTAGGTTACATGTTTCTTAGATTTCAGTGTAAYTTTGTTACATTAAATATAAATTCAATTATTTTATTAAGACATTTAAAAAAGGAATCTCTATGAGAGACATTGATAAAAGTTTGATGCATTCAATATTTCCTATATAACTCATGCTAAGTCAATCACATTTTGCTCAATTCAGTCCATTGACTCTCCATTTGGAATTTCTAAATGGATATAATTAACTACAATTATTTTGAAAACATCCTCATATCGTAGAATTAAAAAAAAAATTATCAAACTCTCTACTACTTAGAAATCATGGTAGTTATTCATCTTTCATATTATAAGTACTTTACTTTTGTATGTATAAAATAAGTTTTCTAATTATTCAAATACAAGTTACCTTTCAAATGACAATGACATAAAACTTGATACTTTTAATTTTGTATTTCAATAAATATTTTCCAATATCTTAAATTCTGAGGTTTTTCTCTACTATAAAACAATAAAAGTGTAGTCAGGAGACTTTATGTTCTTATTTATTGAACTTATTTAGTACTATACCTTTTCAAATATGTTATTAATCAAAYAAGTGTAGATGTCTACCACTATACTGCTCATGCTCTTTCCCAAAGCACTGCTTTCTTATCAACTTCTCATCTTTCTTACTATTTTCTAAAATATTTTATCATCTATTTCCTAACCTTCCTGAACTTTTCTAGTTTTTGCCACTGGCTCTTTTATACAACACCTCTTCCATTTAGTGTCTATTGACATTTTCCTTASATCTTTCTCAGCCACTTTTATTAGTTTCTCTTCTAGGTAGCTCTGAAAAATCTCAATATTCTTTTTTAAATTCATTTTTGTTTTTTAGGTACTAGGGATTAAATCCAGGGCTTGGTGCATGTTGTACAAGGACTCTGCCATTGAGCTATATCTCTAGGCCCTAAAATATCAATATTATTTGTGAAGTGTTCTGGCTTCCCAATATTTTCCCAGGATCCACTTCTCAGTATTTTCTTCTTTTAATGAACTCCTCACTCCCATGACTTGAATTACCATTTACTTATTGAGTCCCAAGTTTACACCTTTGGCATAATTCTTCCTCTTACTCATTTACTAATATTCCCATTAAAGATAATCATCTGAATAGGTCATTCATTGCTACCTCACATTCAATATATCTTATTAAAATTATATTTGTCTTCCCAACTGTTAGTCAGACTTGCATATCTGTGACCAAAATATTTGATAAGACCAACTTAGTGAAGGGAAAGTTTATTTTGACTCAAAGTATCAGGGGTTCAGTCCATGGTTGGTGGAATCCATTGCTCTGGGCCAAAAATAAGGTAGGACTTTATAGTAAAAGGAGTTGGAAGAGGAGCAAAACTCCCTTTGTGGTGGTCAGGAAAGGGTCACAGAGAAGATGAATGCTTCCAGGGCACACCTCCAGTGACCTACTAACTCCAGCCACACTCTAACCATCCAAAGTTACCACCTAGTCTCACAATCCAATCATTTCTAGTCTCACAATCCAATCATTTCTCCTCCAAATATTCCTGCATTAATACAGGAGCATTTGGGGGACATTTTATATCCAAACCATAACGCCAACCCTAATAAATTTGCCCTTCCTCCTTTCATAGCCTTTTCTACCTCTACAGGCATAATGGAGACCTTGATGGCATTTGGAGGGTACAGTAAGTACTAGCTTAGATTTAGCGTACGTTTCCTGTAACCAACCTATTATTGATCTTCTACTCAGAGTTTCCAATGGCCTTCATCTACTTGTAAATAAAATTTCCACATCTTTTCCATAGTTTTCTTTCAGTCTAGTCCCAATTCAGCTCMTGGGTGTTAAATCTTTTCATTCTTACCAAACTTCCTGCACATGACCTGTGATAGCCACTGCTTTCAAGATGTAGTAATGCTGTCATTTTTAAATTTTTTTTWWATTTTCTCTCTTCCCTCTGCCTTCYATTCTTACCTCAGTAAAAATTCAACTAATCCTTCCATGAGCAAGATCAAATATTCAATCTTCTTTGAAACCTTTCATATCTCATGTATCCAYTACATAACTTCTCTAGTCTGATAATGTTCCATTCATGAGTATGGTATGCCATGTTGCAGTTGCATAGTCACACTAGTGTTTAAGTTTCTCACTGGCAGACATCCTAACCCAGTTCTTCATCCAGTGTGACCTCCGATTCAATAATCTCACCATTAATGTGGTTCCCTATGAACTTCTATACTAAGGTCAAGCTAACATCACCGGAATAGGCATCCTGAACTATCTCCCCTTTATCTACCAGTTCCCTTCCTGCCTTTCTTTTCTTTTGTTTACATTAAATGTCTTCATTTTCATCAAGTGATAAACATATGATTCTGTCACCTCTATGTCTTTATTTATAATGTATTTATTTCCTTTAAATACTTTCTAGTTACCCCAAGTACTTTCAACTTCTTTATAGATACAGTGATGTCTCCTTTCCCACTGGGGAAAAAAATGAAGTGGTCATTATTTTGCTCTTCATTTTATTCCACCATGTTTCACATCAAACCAAGGATCCCCATTATAGAGGCAGCATTATTATCCTCATCATACTAGCTTAGAGTTTTCACGTAAGGGTTACAAAATTACTCTCCCACAACAACTTATTTGATCTTCACAACACTGGGGAGAGCGAGTTAAAAGAAGGTTTTAACACATTTATATGCAGTTGAGAAAACTAAGGGTCAAAAGTTAAGTGAACTGCCAACACTCCTACAGCTATTGGAAGCTGGAACTGGCACTCAAATCAAGGTCTCCATCTCCTTGCTCCTGAGAGCTTTCCACTATTTTAAGCTGTTTATTGGCTTGTGTTCCCACCATGACATTTATGTTGACATATATTGGCAACTCAGATGCTGTACAGTGAATGTTGTCTAGGCTCTTTTCAATCTGAATTACTGCTTGGCTTTTGTAACTTTGATGGTACAAATTTCAACTAGGCAGGTATAGCTTTGTCCAACACTTATTTACCTTAGAAGCTCTTACCAGTCTTCCAGATAATACCACTAAGTGGTAAATTATAGTATGATTAGTGTTTGTCATTGAAAATGAGATTTTGAAAAGTAAAGCCATGGCTTTAGCTACAAAATAGCTTCAACTCTTCATTTTAAATGCAAATACATTAATTTGATTTCTTTTGCTTGCATTAATCAATCAATCTTTAAAGTGTTAGCAAGAATCATTTTGCTTTTTCAAATATGTGTGGGTAGCCTTAAATATTTCGTGGCAAATTCTGTGCTTTAGCTTTAAATAAATTTCTGATTAATACAAGTTGCTGGATAGATATAACTTCTTTTAAAATCCAAGATACTAGTGAAATTGATCTGTTTCTTCAGCAGGGCAGCAGAGATGGGCTGAAGCCAGGAAAGAGAGGACTCTTTAAGTTGTTTGCAACCCCAAGATGAATACAGACTTCTCCCTTTCTACCACATCCCTGTTGATGTTTAGGGATTGCTTTGGAACTCTTAAAACATCTCCAGTTCTAAGCAACAGAAATAATCCTTCACCTCTTGCTTTTTTTCCTATGAACACTGGAAGTCTCAGGTTGGCTGAAGAACTCTCAGTGTCCTTTAATGGACAGTGAAAGCAAGCCCACAGAAGAGGGGGTGGTCATTCCTCAGTTGGTATTGTTTTCCTGCCTGTCACCGCTTGCTTCACTGTGACTTTCAAACACCTCTCAGGGAAGTACTGAGAGGCAGTTAGCTATTGCTTTGGTTGGTTGTTTGAGAAACAAAGCAAAAGAATTCTCAAGGAAGGAAAAGTTTATAAACAAACATCCTAATAATTATAGACTTTAAAAGTCACGTCACTCATTACAAATTAAACTATGCACAATCTTCGTGGTGAGTGCCTTGGAGTACCCTTTGCTTTTGACTGTCACAATTGCCCTCACTTGTCTTGTTTCCAAGTGTCCCACATATCACAAAGCTATACTTAACAAATTCAACTCTATATCCATACATATTGCTGCACTAACCATCCTGTTTGCCCAGAGACAGAATACAGACTGGGGCTAAATTGCTTGTTCTTTGCCAGAAATGTATGTTAGGAACTCCTAATAGAACGAGAATCCAGAGGTTAAAAATATTGCACTTCATCATGAAAGTGCGGCGTTGCCCTCATTAACTGCAGAACTGCAAGAGAAATATCATTCCAATGACTCACTGTTGCCTCTTAGTTGTTATGTTTTTCTTTCCTAAGACCATCGGACATGACCTAATTTGCTTGCGGGATTCATACTTTTTATTTTACAATCCCAGCACAATCCGGCCATCGAGAAGCACCAAGGTCCCCTCCCGGAGCCCAGCAGCTCCATATCGTGGACCCACATGTGAAGATGGAAGGAAGGGACAACTCCGTGCCACTTACCAGTCTTCCACAGATAGAGGGTGGGTGCCTCCGCCTCTCTCTGCGCCGCAGCCCCGCGAGCGCCCGGGCACAGCAACAGCAGGAGCAGTGGCAGCGGCAGCAGCTGCAGGACGCCCCGGCGTGGCCCCGCAGCGCCCTGGCTCCTGGACACCGAGCGCTTCCTTTGCAGCCCCATGCTGCCCGCAGCCGCTCCAGGGTCCGGATTCGCAGTACGTTGGTTCAGCAGGGAATTTTTCTTTCCTTTCGGAACGTCTTCCCAAGGAGTACAGAAAGCAAAGCTCTTTCCTCCTATTGTTCGTTTCAGATGAAAAGGAGGGAAAGAGCATCTAACACCAGGGAACAATAGCGTCCGTGGTGGCCGTGGACACAGCCGCCGCCGCTGCCGCCGCTGGCGGGGATGCTGCCGTCGCTGCCATTCCGCGCAGAGTGGCAGGTCCGTGCAGAGAGGGAAGCAGCCGTCCGCAGGGGGCCCCAGCTGACTGAGCAGGTCCGTGAGGTCTGGGAGGCAGCGCAGCCCCCGCCGCCAGCTGGAGAGAGAGGGGGGGGGCGTGAGCCGAAAGGAGTGAGAGGGGGCTGGAGGCAGGGGGAGGTGAGAGCGCGAGGGCGAGAAGGGGAGCCAGGAAGGCAAGAGCCGGCCGCCAGGCAGCACCCAGCCAGGGCATATCCGCCCAGAGAACTCCAGTGCACATGGTGCGGCGAAATAGGTTTGAAAGGGTACACCAATAAAAAGGATCATCACCCGGCAGGCTTCAGAATGATGAATAACTGCCATTGAAATTCATCGTCACCCAAGGAGTCAAAGGGTAGATCTAGTGGCGTGTTATTCTTGGTGCATATTTGCACAAAGCATCCGTGTTGATAAGGTATTTTTAAGCTGTGGCTTCTGAATTACTTTATGTGAGAAACACTATGATCAGATATAGAAAACACAACTACAACTTGCTGTCAAAATGCACTTAAACTCTTTCTTCATTGTTCTTTAACTTAAAGTAAGCCATTCTCTTTTTAAAACTGAATTCATACTTAAGAAGCATGTACAATGCTAAGTAATGACATTAATAAAATTTCACGAAAACTAATCATAAAATTATATTTCAGGTATGAAGTAAAGTACTCTCTCTGTTAAGAATACACTACTTCTAAGTATCCAGAGAGTTGTGAATAGAAACAATAGGGCAAATTAAGTCAGTAACATTGTTTGGATAGCTCCTAATTAGTGAACTCTTTTCTTAAAATTCTGACAGAAATTTCTCTTAATACTTAGTGTAGAAAACCCTCTTTCATTATCTAAGTTAGGAACCACATGGTTTTGTGTCTTTTGTTCTTTGTTGTTTTCACCTTCTTATATCATGTATCAATAGAAGAATGGGTGAAGTCAAATTATGCTTTATATTTTCTTCCTTTCCCACAGTAATAATTGTTTATTATTTATTTATTTCCTAGTAAACCTAAAATCAAGACACTTAGTCAATTAAAAAAAAATGTATCAGCAAGCATAAAGCCAAAGAAAACTCTTCTCATCTGGTTAGAAATTTTCTGCCAAATAAAATTAAAATTTTAAAGCAGGAAAACTACTTAGAGTAAATTTTATGAATTTACTCCAAGACAGAGCAACCCAGGGATTTAAAACGAGGAAGCTACTGTTTCTGAAAGAGGAAACCTTCCATAAGGCTCCCTGGGGACAATTGTCATTTTGTGGTGCTTTCCAGACACAGCCCTCTGCATGCATTAGATTAAAAGCAGGTTTGATCAAATAATTCCCAGGTCCTGCCTGTTTAAGTATTCTGACATCAGAGGAAATTAGCTTCGTAGAAGGTTGCAAATTTGGTCTTTGTTTACTTTTCACTCTGTTAGGCCTCTAAGAGGGAATTAAAAGCTCAGAGAGCCCTAGCTCTGTGTCTGTGATTAGGAGAGATAAACTAGTGTGGATTACTATTTCTTCACTGGCAAAAAACAGGCAACAATCAAAAGATTATAGGTTGATAAAGAATACAAAGGAAGCCTGATCCTACCTAATGTACAGCTCCCAGAAGGAGTACTTCTTTCAACAGTAACACCACAGAGGAAAGTGAGACTGCTATTGCTTCCTGGGTTCTGCCCTGTTCAGGAAAACTCTGTACAAAACCACTCCACAAGAAGCATTGTCCTACCATGTCTGTTTATATTTCTCAGGTATTGTTCATGTCCAGAGAATCCTCTAACTCTGGCACAGGGAGAATGCACATTGGAGGTACTCTGTTAATAACAGCTATTCTAAGTTTTCTTGGGAAGCCCAAACCTATTCACCATATGGAAATTCATTATATAACACAGACAGGACAGGGAACATGAGGAGTCAAGTTAGTACATTTTCATGTGCAAGACAGTCATCCAGCCCTTCACAAAGCCATCAGATGCCATACTCAATAGCTCAATGTCAAAAGAAAATTCAAGATTCTGATCTTTGTATTTATCCGTCTCTATAATAATGACTCAATTGGTTAAGAGTTTAAACATTACACCTACAAATTAAAGTATTGTGTAAGAACCAAGGTCAGCTTTTTAAGTCAACATTTCTTGCCATTTAAATTATACAATTAGGATGACATGTTCTACAGTAGTGTTTGAAAATAGCCAACAATTGGATTCCTTAATTTAAACTTAATACAAAGATTAGGGAACATACACAAAAAAAAAAAAAAAAAAAGAATCACTTATTAGCAGTGAAGACACCCTGAATAATGTTACAGAAACTAAGTCATACAAACATTTGTCTTCACCACTGCCACATATCTGTTCATAACAATGTCATTACTGCACTTGAGGACAAAAATGTATGGGTCTCTAAGGAGACAAAAGTGATATATAAATATATATGTTCAGATACATGTTCCTTTGTGAAAGGAACTGTCCAGTTGGATAAATCCTATCAATAAAATTGATAGATTGCAAGATATAGCAATCTTTGTTTTCTAGAATATGATATAAATAATACACAAATGTTTAATGACGTGATGTCAAAATTGAGTCATGAGAAGTCTCAAGGATGCAGATCAAATTGACCATCTGTACAGCTTGCCATGAATTAAGTCATTCATCGTTTTTCATGAAGAACTGTTCAAGTATTAATGAGGCAGGGCTATAAAAGTTTTCCAAACCAATGGATGACAAATGCAAATCATATATTTTTTTTAATATTTAGAAATAAGACAATTTTGAACCTATTTCCACTTCTGTTATGTCCTTAATTAGCCTTTGTTATTTTTGCCATTATTTCTAAATTCCAGAGAATGAGGGCATATACACACCTACACATGCTTTCTCTTTTATTAGAATATAAGCATATAATACACCTCATGACCCATCAGACATATGGAAAATGGCTTCCTGTGATTAGTATCAGTATTTGAAACCAATTATAAAAAATTCAGCTACTTGATAAAAAGGGAAGCAATTATTAATGTCATTTATTTTTATAAATAAAATAAATGATGCAATGTAAACAAAATTACTTCATTGATAGAATATTGCATAGGGAAATACATAAGGATGTGTATTTTGAAATAAAATTTTAAAATAAATTTCTCCAAATAAATGTATCTTGCATTCAGAAGAAAACAAAAACAAACAAAAAAACACCAAAAGGAATTCAATTTGTACATCCTCTAGGTGTCATACTTGACTAAGATTTAAGTTTGACAAAATTTATTTTAGGCCTCTTTCTATGCCCCCCTTCCCTGCCACACCCATCAAATTATCAAAAGATAAAACATTTTATTTTTGATCTTTGTAGTAAGTAGCCATAAATTTTACTTTTTTTTTCAACTCTGACTCTAATACTCATCCTCTCTCTTCCTTCTAGTACCATTTTATTTATAAACACTTTACCATATCTGTTGGTTGGGCTGACTGGTTCGCAGATTTGTAACTTTGCATGGTGAGAGGAAGACAGATTCTAAATTTCATATCGATTTATAGAAAATTTATCTTGTGATTTCTCCATTTTATTAATAAGTAACCTATTAAACAATATCTACTGAGAGCAGTTGGACCCTTGTTTTGTCTATCAGGTAAAAACTGACAATATTTTGGTTCAGATCCAATAGAGCCTTTGGATGGATCATACACTGTAGGCCTCACAGCAGCAAAACTGCTTACAGAATTCACCAGTGGTGACATGGAGAAATGTTTCCAGAGAGAACACTGTGGCCAAAGGCAATGATTCTGGCATTTGAGAATTATGGAGGAACATGTACAAGGACAATAAAACTGGCAAGTCATCATTAGTTGTGTTGATGTCTATAGAGTGATAATGTAAAAAGTCTTGGCCATTTGCAAATAATGAAAATGAAATACGAAGAGTGGAAGTTCTCTTTGATATCTGAAAAAGAGACCCTTGTCTCATGCAGTGATGGAGCAGAAAAACCTGAGGACTAAACTGAAAACTTAATAGTAGATAACTTCAAAGGTAACTGAATGATCAACCAAGGCAAGAGTGTTAAGATCAGAGTCCCACTGGGAAAAACCTGGGACAAGTTCATTTGAGTTGATGTTCCAAAGGTTTGGCTCCCAGGATCCTCTAAACTCTCAAAGCCTGCAGCAGTGGCCCATTCATCTCTATTAAAAGCTGGCACATTCCTGCCAGGCCAGCCTCACAACCAATCCTGGTCTCCTCTTGTGGATTACAAATTGATGGTTAAGTTGCAGTATGAAGCTGCTTAGGACTTGCTGAGCCTGATAGGAGGGCAGAAAGACCAGATAGCAAAGGATCCCCAAGTATTGGCCAGGCCATATTGGTGAAGGCCAGAAGAGAATTCACAGGGGCTAAGTTTTGCAATTATTTGATCAAAGAGACCAGAACATAAAACAAAATTATACATATGAAGTAACACCTCAGTGTGTGTGTGTGTGTGTTTCTTTTTCTGATGCTGTGGCTCACACCTAGAGCCACATACATGCTAGGCAAGCATTCTTCCACTGAGTTATCCCCCAAGTCCCTCCCTGTGGCTTTAATGTGCATCTCCATCAACATGATGAGGTCCAAGTAACTTTTCATAAGTCTGTCGACTATTTTATGTTGTATGTCCTTTTGAGAACAATTTCTATTCTATTCCTTTGTCTTTAACTGAGTTACTTGCTTTTATTTTTGATATTATGTTTCTTAGATATATAGTTGGATATTAATCCCTTATCAGA